CATGATTTATTAACTTTTGGGCTTTTTTTCTAGCAGCAGGATGTGGGTTATGAGAAGATCCACAACCTAAGTATGAATTACATCGCCAAAGGATCATTTATATATTATTTTTGAGGAGTTTTTTCAGGAAAGGAAGTTGTTATTTTTTATTCTAATTGTCTGATAAAACAAATCAGAAGTAACAGAATAACTAATTAAATGAAGAGGAAAAAAAATAAGATTATATTTTCTAATTAATTTTCCATTATAAAATACGTAAGAATTTTTAGGATAATTGAACAAAGACAACGAAAATAAATCTAACCTTTCTGTTTATCTCAGAACAAACGAATAAAGTATCGACATAGTGATCAGAAAAAAAAGACTTGAGACTAAGTTATTTGATTATTTTAATAAAATATGCGATCATTCTCAGGATAATTGAATGATGAAATAAGAAATTAAACTGAACCAATCTATTCAGATTTTCTCGTACGGCGACGAAACAATTACCATAATCAATAAATCGAAAGAAGAATAACGTTAATTTTTCTATTGAATTTCTTCGACAGAAGCGTCAGAAGTATTATAATAGAGCTGTTTGGAAAAAAAAGAAAATGATATTGAATAAGTCTTTTAGGTTCTTCTCAAAATGTGACGGACAATATTCAAAATAACTGAATGAAGAGAAAAACAAGAAAAATTGATTATTTCAGTCTATTACTTCTATAACATACCGAACCCGTATCAAAATAAATAAAAATAAATGCAGAGCTAGTTTTTTTTTATGCATCAGCAATGTTTTCTGTAGAAATATATAAAATACTTATTATATTTATGTTGTACCCAAAACTGATTTAATTGACCTTTGAGAGCGTGCGTGTGGTACATGGATGAGTGCAAGTGTTCTTGTGAATGTAGAGACGAACTATGCCAACACCTTCAAAACTATTACTTACGCTCATTCACTCTTAAAACCACAGTGAACTGGCATTTATATCTATGGCTGTTAATTGATCGAAAAATCTCACTCGAGACTCGAAATAAATTAATCTTGACGAATTATGATTGAGTTATATTCGATATAATCTAATAATATATATATTATAGTCAGATGTTAATCGTTCTTATTTTCTAAACGTAATATTATTTATCATGGACAACAAACGACAAAATACTTTTATTTATTATTATTCAAAGTATATATGAATGAATTTTATTCAATAATCTTATTGATTTAAGATAATTCTAAATAACAAAATCTTTGAATTTTTTAGAAAATATCATCAATAAATCACTTAAATGTTTGTTACAAGTATAAATGATACACCTTTCTATTTAATTTTATTTAAAAAAAAATATTTTCAATCAAAATAACAATCGAATCGATCAAGTATTTTCACATTGCTCACATTCATTTAAATAAAAATATCTTAGATATAATGAATCTCTGCATATAGATTTATATAGCACGGAAACGAATGTGACACGTGAATACACATGTAGAGCAGATCTACATGCGCATTTTTATTATAGAAAAAACTATATATGAAATCATATCTGTCGAAATTACTAAGCCAATAAATCATAATTCGTATTAGTGATGGCTTCACTGCCACGGGCGTCTAACTGGAAAGATACTGGACTGTGAATCCAGGGATCCCGGTTCGAGTCCGGGTCGTGCGCGCGTCTCGTTCCTCAAGTTGGTTGCTTCGGCCACCATGGCTGATCAATTGATGCGGGGGTATCATCTGACAAACGAGCATTCATGAAACAATCTCTCTCAAACACTCCAATTATACGGTTGATTAAGGCTTAAAACGGGGCGAGGGATGGTCTTCTGCTTACCGGAGGGCAAGTAGTGTTAGAGGGCGGGTACCGTGATAGGGTCAACCGAGGGGAGGCTCGGTATGACGTTGGGGTCGGTAGCGAATAAGCATTCACTGAGTAGGGTTAATAGGACTCAGCCCCATGCCTCATTTATACTCGGTATGGCTTAATGATCGAGCTTCTAGACTACGAAAGCCAGCACCCTGGTGGTGCTGGTTATTCGAACACTTGCAAAGAGTATGTTCTATATTCAATGCATTTCAAGCCTAGGTTGGTGTAAATCATACGTAGGTCTGGCTGGGTGACACCAGGCAATGTTCAACGGCGGCCTAGTGATGGCTTCACTTGATACACTTGTAACTAATTGATGTGTTCGAACACGTATTCTTGCTCTTGCCAAGTCACAAGAAATATTGGATCGTCTATGTTAGGGTAGTAAGATGGAATCTCTTGAGCTCAGGAAATTATTGCAGAGGCGAAATCTCTTTCCATTTATGAGAGCCAGCTAGCGATATTATAGGAGAAATTATGTATGTCACATGGTCGAAATTTGACATTTCATAAATGTTCGACTCAATCTAATATCATTTTTGCATCCTCCACATACGTGATGTCCGTAGTAAGATGTTTGATATGATGAAGTAATTTCAAAAAGATAATTCGTCCTTAGAATAGTCTAAAACCAAAAATGTTTCATCTTAAGGAAAATTGACAAATAAAATATAAAACTATTTTATGTCAAAAGAAAATCATAAATTACTAATTAGTGATCGTTTTTCTGATAAATTAAAAAGTCTTTTCAAAAAATTTTATATTTGTATGAAATCAATTTGCTTTAAAATAGTTTAGATTGATTTTCAAAATTTTAAATTTTTGCATTACACAATATGTTTGAGTGCTTTTTATCAAATATTTTACAAGCGAAAAATCTTCAAACTTATTTACAATGACGAGAAAATAATTGTCTTTGACACTTCCATAAGAATAGATCTTGTTTCAGGTAACTGTGATGAAATAGGTGATCTAAAAGAAAATAGATTGTATGTATGAATAGATTTAAGAATGCGCCTGCACATTTCATAGTACCACACCATTTGCATGTTAAAGAAACGTGGGTGATAATATGAGTCACTTTGAAGCATTGTCGAATTTACAATAGAAGAAAATTTATCCTAATATTCGTCCTGTATTATCTATTTTGGCAAGTCTATAGTTTCATTTGAAATTTTCTTGATAAAATTTTCAGCAACAGTGAAGGATGGTTTTTAGCAAAACAGTTACAATTTTATCAAAATACATAAGTACCAAAAAACAGTATCAATCAATAAGAATCTAAGAATAGTAATATAACATAACTAATTTTAAACTCAAATAATAATCTATCGATTTGAATTTATAAAGAAAAGCTTATATTTTACGTTGTCGGTCAGAATAATGAAAGTGATTTTGAAAGATTGCTATCGAATAGAGATGAAATTTCCCGCTATATTCGCTGAACTCATAGTCACATCTAACTTATCAATTTTTGATCTAAAGCCAACATGGCATTCGAAATAGCGTAATCAGTGACTGTACAGTAAAACAATAACCATTATCAAGCTCAATAGGATGGGTGTGGATGTAGATGCAGCGATCAACCACCCTCACGCATTATATATTGATTTACTAAGGCTAAAGAATAGACATGAGTTATATATTTCAGCCCGATTCGAGCTGTGTCAATAAGCTCTATTAAAATCATTTTCTGAACACATTTCCAATTATTAATGATCATGTACAGTATTAAACATATCGATTACACTAAATTGAAAAGATTCGTTTGGAGTTTGTTTTTTTTAATTTAATTTCTATACGAATCTGACTGATCTCGATAGTTCAGTTTAACTAGAGACTTATTAAATAATCAAGTGATCAGTTAAACGAAGGGAGAGATATTGAAAACTATCACCTAATATTACCTAGAAGGTGAAGAAGATAAAACTAATTAATAATCTATCAATCATTCAAAATAAAATTAACTATATGTACTTAAAATGTGTCTCAGTTTGTACCTAACTACATTCTAATAAAATAGGCTTTTTTTACGACACTTAAAAAGGGCTTTCCCATACATCTATGGGAAGAACGTTTTTTCAATTGGATATCAAAGAAGAGTTTCGCACCGAACTTTATATCTATATTATTTTCTTTATCTACTGATTTCTATACAATTATGCCTACAACCATATACCAATATTTCTGAACGTCAATTCTTTGGAACATACTTTTTAGAATATATTCTGGAAATTTACAATTTTTAAAAAGAGAACTTCTCAACAAACGTTATCCTTCTTTTTATATGTGAAAACGAATCGATCGAGCTATCGATAAATGATAAGAATTGAGTTATAATTCATGCACAATTCAAATCAATCGAGTTTGTATTTGAATAATCTTTAATGTCTGAAACGTTTCACTATGTAATGATGAGTACCTTGATTTAATTACTCGATTATTTCATATGAAATTTTTCGATAGCTTGTGGCGACATCAAGGGCACTAGTGAAACTTGGTGGATTGATCATTGCTTGCTATAATTGGCTACATGTCCACAAAGAATAATTTTTTCGTGTTGTGTGCATACACTATTTGTATTATTCGTTTTTTTTTGGGGTTTTTTTAAATAACATTCAATCAACAATGTCTTCATCATCGTCTCACAAATCTTCTTCTCCAACTATTTCTGTTTCATCAACTCAAACAACAGAAAATATTCATCCTGTCTATGATCAACCCGATGCCTCTCGTATTTATCAAGATAGAACCATCCTTTTTTTTGGAGACGGTACTATGCGATCACTTTATTGTGATCTCTCTCGATTGTTACAAAATGGGAAAATGCTGAATAATTCGGAAACTAAATATCATTTTGGCCGGCATAGCCTTTAAGTCAGTAAGTATCAATGATGTTAAAAGAGAACGTTAGCATCTATTTTCATTGATATATTCAATACAGTAGGCTTGATTTTCTGAATACATCTGTGATTGATATAAAATTGAAAATGCTTCCGGAATTGTCACAAAATATTTTGATTATACTCAGATATTGTTTACTTTTATTAATAGACGAAACCATACTTCAATCACATACAAAATGTATTTTGTACGATCGCATTGATTGTCGTAGGTATTATTGTGATAATTCATCAACAATGTTATATCTAATTTATGTGGGTACTATTATGGATGATAAATGTCCAGTCAGTGTTCAATGGTTGAAAGAAATCACAGAGGGTATTCTCATTGATTTAGTTGTTATGTCATGTGCTTATCCAGATCTTTGCGAGTATGTTTTGTACTACTTGATTTTGCAATCGAATAAAATATTTTGTTTTGAAATAGTCGTCGATTAGAAAAAAAAAATGAACAATTCGATAATAAATTACCATTATTTCAATCAAAGTTATCTCATATTTGTTCAATGTTCAAGTTAGCTTTTCCTGACTCCATTATGATTTGGGTACCACCACTTCCACAAAAATTGTTAAATGATAAACAAACCAATCAATTGAAGAAACTGATTCAGATTTGCTATGATATCGCATGTGATGAATATAATTTTGATTTTTTAAAACGTTATCAAAATTGGATTGACTGTTATAAACAGTTTTATGTTAAAGATGCATTTTATATTTCAAAAAATGGTAAATAGAATAACTGATGACTATGTAAAAGGAACTCATTTAAAAATTATTTTCTTTTTCTATTTTAGGCGTCCGTGAACTTACAATTGAACTAGGTGAATTAATGAAAAAAAAATGGTCTCATTATATTCAAATGGACCCTCCGAATAAACGCTTCAAAACTGATAACGATTTATTAAAAATTTAAAAAGTTATAGAAATTTTCTGTTCAATAAACTCACTTGTTCTTCGTATGACTTGATATGAAGATATGGGATTTTTCTACAGATAAATTGATCATGATGGCATTGACAACAAAACTGAACATAGGTAGGCAATGCTCATGCGTATTTCTCCAACTAACAGCACTGTTAGAGTTTAATAATAAATAAAAGGTATTTAGACTAAGAAGATAAAGACATACTTCGATTCATCAAACAGCTAAATAGAATAAGATATTATATGATTTACAAGCAGATGCTAATTGGAAAAAATTACATCAACCATTTGAAATAGTTTATTGAATGAAATCATTCGAATATTCATCAGCTGTGTTTATATCGTGAAATGAAATTATAGTATGAATGTCTTGTTTATTATTTGTTTTTAGCATCTTTGTTGCCAACAGTTTCAATAATTTATGAACTTTCTCTTTTACCATATATCAATTATTATATTTTTCCCTTCTTAACTTCCATTTTAGTCAATCCTTCTTTATAAGATGGAATTTATGGTAAACAAAACTTCAGTTCTAAAGCACATATTCAATGAAAGAATCTATCGAATAATATTGAAAATCTTTTTATTTCAACAATAAAAAATCGATAATATTTATTAGAAGAATGTTAACAAAGACATTTATTTAATAAAAATAATTCGAATTATATAAATGTTGCATTCAAAACCTAAATTTAAGTTGCAAGATGCTTTTAACGAGTTCGTATTAAAAAATATAAATTTATTGTGCGAATGTTTCTGTTTTATCTCTTCTCACTTCATTTATGGGTGTGAGTGTAAGTCAAGATGATTTACATGTCTCTACACCCACACCCTTCTACAGTACAACAATTTGAAATCTTTAGGTATCTCAACTAAAGAATTTTCAATCGAGTTCAATTGTTTACTATTGATAGTTTCTCTAATATTCATTATTAGTTGAAAATTTGAACTAGATTCAAAGATCAAATTTGGTGATATAAAAAATTTATTGAGAATCTTGTTAATTTGCGCATATTATCATAATCAATATAATTCTTCATGTAGCAAACAGTATGGTACATGAAATATTCTAAATGCATAGTTAATTGACTAAGTATAAGACAAATATCTGTAAAAATTTCAATCCAAACATTGCTTCCGTTCTTGAGCAAAAAAAAACAAGATTCATTGCATGATTTATTCGAAATATCAAAACACAGCATAAGTCCACAAATGATCGTTGAATCTAAGTCAGATTTTCAGGTAAAATAGAGCATTATACCATCTATGAAAATATGAATCCAGTCAAATACCAAAGCTTTGAGAGAAAAATTCCTATATTTATTCTGGATAATCAAGTCACTAAGTATATTGATTTATTCATTATGTAGTTCGCACTGATTAAATGTAGTCTCGTTTCATCGTGATTGTACATTTGTAAAGCTTCTCTTACGGTAGCAAAAAATTGATTTCTAGTGATTAATTATGATTTTCAATTAATATTAATTACCATCCACAGTTCGTATTACAAGAATAACAGTCACAATATTTGTCTTTTGTCTCCACGGAACGTAAAACTATTGATATTATTATTATTTTTAACCTAAGCAAATTTCACATTTAGGTGAAATACAATTAGTTATAGTTGTGTCCAAATACTTCTAATTTACTTAATATTTACATTTAACGAATTGTTTCTATCAAACATAATTTTGTTAAAGAAATAAATGGAAGTCACATGGCTCGCATGAAATGATTTATGGTATAGTTACGATGGTGAGATAAAAACTTGAAAGCTAAAATTTTATTGAGAAATAGTCGAAATTACGGTAGATCAATCGATCAATGGTTTGTCTTGATTATTTATATAAATAAGATTATTAATAATCATGTAGTAAATATGTTTGTAAACGAATAATTGTTGATTGTATTTATGATTAATTAGATATAATGCGAATCATGAAGTAAACTTTTCGATGCAAAGTTTATATTCAAAATGGAATTGTTCACACATAGAATGATAAATCCTATCGTGTGTAGATTTGAGGAGGCTATCCAAATCCAGCACCAAACATGCGTACACTCGATACTTGAAACCAGACGATAACTTTACATCCATTCTTTGTTTTATATCATATTTCTGATGAGTTGCTAGTAAAAATTAATTTTCATTGTCTGTCTTTTTAGAATTTCCAGAAGTTTTGATGACGAAAAAAATGAAACGGAGGAACAATAAGCTATGAAAACTTGGTGAAGGTTGTTTTTATAAATAATTAAAATTCTAATGGAACAGAAAAAAGTTTAATTGAAAAGACATTAAAAAATGTTTGATATTTTTTGTTGAATTTTCTTCAGAAAAATAGACCCTTTTAGATTATCGACCACGAATCTTGTCATAAAAAATGTTTGAAAAAAAGTATTAAAACACGTATTCTTATTCAGCTCATCAAGCTCTTTCTAAACATGCATAAAACAATGGGAAAAAAAGGTTTTAGTTTCGTATTATCAGCATCTCACTAATACTTGTGCCACTTGATAAAATTCAACTGGCATAAAATTATCTAATAATGTGATAACAATAATCATCATCACCTCTACTCCTTGAAAATACACGAAAAGCAAGTACTTTCATAGTCATCATTGATCGTTCTAGTTGATAATGTTGCTGGATTAAATTTTTGAATTTGGTCAATGAAACGACTAGTGTAGAAAAAAATACAGTTCGTGCTATAGATAATACGACATACAGGGTGTGGGTTTAGCATTGATGCACATTCACTTAAGAAAGATGAAATCATTTTTGTAGTTTCATTATTAGTGGTTTTTCTTAGTCTCCGTATATCACATAAAGTTTTATTCAATACAATTTTTTCATTCGAATTATTCATCATTCTAAAGTATGATTGTATGCAAATATATTCATATATATTGCCAAGTTTACCTAAGCTTTTATTAGTGTAATAAGAAAAAGAATTAGTAATACTATTTCATCATAATTGCGCAATTCTTCTAACGATGATTCATTTATCTAGTATAAATAGCGAGATTTTTCTGTTTTTATTCTCATTTCATATTATTCGTAACAAACTACAACTATGACTACAAATCAACAAGAATATGATGAACAATTATGCGTTCTTCAAGAACGTTTCCCACAAGAATCAAAAGACAAATTAATGCGTCTTTTACAACGACACAATGGTGATATTGATCAGGTAAATAATACTTTTTTGCAACTTAATATATATTCTACAGCCCGCTAATACCTCTCATGCGGGGGAATGGAGGTTGCTCGATATGTTTTTATATATCAGCGTAAAAAAAATTAGAATTTCTTTTTTTTAGGTTAAAGTGTATTTATTTAATTTTTTGAATTTGTAAATTTCATAAGGTTCGTGCACATCTTGTTCAACGAGAATATCATGCTAATAAATGGACTACACTTGAAACACGTTTTGGTGCAGCAGTAACGACATTACAACAAGAATTACCATCGAGTCAATCAATGAAACGTATTCGTTTATTGCAAATTATGGAATGTTTTAGTGGTGATGTTGAACAAGCTCGAAACTTTTTACAAAGTTTTCGAGAACAACATCATAAACATGATGAAAATTCAAATATATCTCGACATAAAAAACGAAAAGAATTAAGAGAAAAATATGCTACTCAATTAGCTGAATTAAGTACAGCTGGTATTAATGTTAATTGTCCATGTATACTTCGACAATTGGAGAAAAATCAAGGCGATGTTACCAAGGTAGACTATTTTTTTCTTGTTTGTTTATTTTAAAAGAACATAACGATTTATGTTCGAATATTTTAATGTAATAATAGGTTATGGAAAGAATGTCACGGCATGCAGCAAAAAAAGAAAAATTAGCAGAACTTGATGCAAAATATGCAAATCAAATTGCGCAACTTGAAATTGACGGTACAATAATTAAAAATAAACGAATTTTATTACATTTATTAGAAAAAACTGATGGACAAGTTGATGTTGTTAAACAACTTTTAAATGAAAGAAAACAAAGAACAAAAGAATATCGAGATAAACATTACAATGAAGCACAAGAAACAGGATCAACATTGAGAAAACGACAGAAATTAAGTGTTGATGATATGGATAATCTTAAACGACTTCGTTCAGCTGGTGTACATGGGAATCCAATGAAAATATTAGCAATCTTTCATGAATGTAATGAATCAATTGAAATGACGGTTGCTCGAACTCAACAAGAACGAGAACAACGTCTTCAATGTCGAGACGGACGAAAATTAGTAAGACTCAATTTTACTGATGAAAAAAATATAATTAAATTTATTTAACTTTCGTTTAGCAACGTAACATATTAGTTGAAGCTGAAAATGGTTATATAAATATAAATAATCGTGATGATTGGCCACGTGATATCGAACAAGTTTATTTAGATGGAAATAATATGATGTTTGTTGTTGATTCTCTTCGTCGTTTATGTTTAAATCGTTCTGGTAAAAAAACTGAACGTGCTCTAGGAGAAATAGCTTCCGCATGGAATGAACAAATGCATATACCATATGTTGAACTTATCTTTGATTCAACACATCAATTAGATCAAATTGGTACAGTTAAAATTTCAAGTGCTCAACCAAAATATCGAACAACTGATGATATGTTAGTTGAAATTACACAACAACCAGAAAATCATGAAAAAAATAAACGTACAATTATTGTAACGTCTGATCGAGGTTTAGCGGCACTTGTAAGTTTATAATACTGTTTCTTTGTTATTTTTGACTTTATTTTCCCCCCTATTATTATAGTTGCAACATGAAGGATGTTTAGTTGTTAAGGCCCCACCCCCACCTTATTTCTATTTTAGCTTCTGAACATCCAATCTTGCTGAAATTTTCAGAGAAGTTGTATCTCATGCTAGATAGCTCACAGTAAAAATTTCAGCTCAAAATATTGAGTCTACCAGGTTTTACCTGAGGATTACCGGTCAAAATGGAGGGTCCGGGGTTTCCCAAATCCTGCTGCCATCTTAAACGCTAGAAAGCTCGGGATCGTTTTAAAATATACCAAAGACCTAGCACTACAACTTAACAGAGCCCGAATTTTAGTTTTCGTTCTTAATTTTTTTTGGTTGAAGTTTTTCTTATAGTGTACGGTAATGATAGGGCATGTGCTGTGATACATTTTAATCTCATGGGACACTAAATATAAAATCTGAAATTCTGGCTCTGTTAAGTTGTAGAGCTAATCATTCTCTTCATTTTGAAACCCACCCGAGCTTTGTAGCGTTTAAAATGGCGAAAAGATTTGGGAAATACGAAAGTGTTAAAGCAAAAAAACGCATTCTGAGAAAAACGTGAAAGAAGTTTGAGAAGTAAAATTGAAGACTTTTTCTATGGTAACATGAGATAAAATACATTTTTTAGTGACTTTTCATAGATTAGTGGTTAGAACAGACTCAGTAGACACATGCGGAGGTTTTCGGAAAAGGTTTTTTTTGTTCAATATGATCATGTTGTGTGTATAGTCGAATCATTAAATATTGCTTGGTACGATATGAGACAGAACATCTGAGTTTACATCGATAATTTTATATCATATAGTAATACTATTTTCAAATTATTTGAAATAGATGAAAACATGTCGAATTTCTGTCAGATATGAAAATATCCTAGCAAACTTTATTGACTAATTTATATAAAATCTTAGACAAATAATAACATGTTATTAACAAGTAACGCTCGTCGCTACGACTCGCTCAACCCTCGACTGAAGGGTTAGACATACTTATACGCTAGTCCACTTTATCGAGACAGCAAATAAAAATTCTTTTAATAATGTTTTTCGTCTGTAGCCATCAGACTAGATAGGTAATATGAATATATTCATATACATTTCAATATTTAAATGAGTGTTGATTATAAAGCATCTCAGCAGAAAAGCCCCCGTCATATTTCATTTAAATAGCATTCTGACAGAACGAATATAAATTCTATAAATAATGTTTTCCCTCAAATGTACTATTCAAATATCGCACACGTGCAGAAAAGGTGTTCTCACACTTTATTTCCAACTATTTCTCAGTTTTTAGCAACTGCTACTCCTTATTCGAATCCATTAGATCTAGACTCTTGATGTTTATTTGATGAATTCCAAACACCTGAAGCGTTCCTTCAAGGAACTTTCTAATGCAGCCGCTAGTCGTTCGTCGGCGCCCCTCCGGGGCGCCACTCACGACTAGCCGCTGCTATGTTTCGTTCTATTTCTGCACAGCACCATTCTTTTTTATGTACACTTCGTTGTGAACTATTTGTGATTGCTTCAATTTTTTTTGTAGCTGAAAAATCAGAGTTTTATTGAAATCCCTCATTAAGAAAATATTAGTGCATTATTCTCAAAAAATCAAGCTTTTATAGATATATCTGGTGAGCGAAATCTACCGAACTGTTCCAATATAAGCAACAAATCGCTCATTTTACGGCAGTGCACTCATGCAACAGTTTATCTATCATCTATTTAACGTAAAAATGTGGCATCGTTTTTATACATCTATTTTTTTTATTACTTTAAGTCATTGCAACTAGAAACTCCACAAGTTCGAGGTCTTCGAAACATATACAAGGATAAAAATTTGGTTTTTTATAATAATGATAAATTACAGTTTATTGCCACATCCCAGTTTAAGATCCTGCCCCATCTCTGGATAGACATCATTAGAGCATAGATCTAAGGTTATGAAAGAAATGGGAGAAATATGCTCATACAATCAGTTCTATTGTAAGATTGTAAAAAAATCTAGCTAATTTTGCCCATCTTCTCTGTCGCTGCAAAGGCACCGTCACCTTTATTTGAACATAGATGGCTTTTGTTATACCTTTGAAAGCTACTGAGATAATCAAGATTTGACATGGGCAGCATCTCATAGTGAAATCATATTTGTGTTTTTATATCAAACATATGGGACCTCAAGGTGTGAATAATATCCATCATTTGGACATTTGAAGAGTACTGTTGAGGCGTTCTTAATCTGCTTGTCTTCCAAATCTTTCAAGGCACGATAAGAGCTATCTATGTGCAAAAAATAGATCCGCTGTCTGTCCCAATCATAGAGAGAATGGATACAAATTACCAAGGCTTTCTTGTAAATATCGAATATGACCGATTTCAATAGCTTATTAACGTGTATCTTTTGCATTTAATTTACGAATAGACGCAAAATCTGTGTTAACGAGAGAAAAGTCATTAGCTTCATCAGTATTTTTATAAAATTGGAAAAGTACCAATATTCACTTTCACTTTCTTCTTTTCATACGGTTAGACACAATCTAAAGCCAACACATACTATACTTGTCGATAATAAAGTTAAGAAAATCCGATTTTTCACCCACCAAGGACACATATCAAAAGAAAAATTAGTTTTATTTCAATTAATTTTGTTTCTAATAGAGTGAATATAAATTCTTTGAGGAATGCCTTCCCTCTAATGTCTTACTCAGATATTGCACCCGTACAAAAAAAAGTGTTTTTATATTTAACTTAAAAAAATATTTCTCAATTTTTTGTCACTTTTAAGCCCTGTTGAAACCCATTAGATTTCGACAGTTGACATTTCTTCTATCAATTCTAACACCATCATGCCTATCTTAAAGAAATTATCCAGAGCAGCAGCTAGTCGCTCGTCGATGCTCCTCTGGAGCGCCACTCACGGCTAGCCGCTGTCATGTCTAATCCTATACTCTCCAAAGATCATCTTCCTTGATTTATACACTATCAGATTCCAGATTGCACTTACCTCAAAAACTTTTTTAGATATACAACACGAGACAACTTGATAGACAAACCCAAACCGGTGCTTCGTTATGCACTACTCCTTATTTTCCAACCTTATCGTCTAGCTGAAAAGTTAGACTCTTACTTGACTTCCTGATTAAAGGAATCTTTGTGTACAATTCTCAATAAACCTAGCTTTCACATAGATCTTTTCTGAATTGAAATTAGAGTACGCTTCCAATATCAATCGCCAGTTGTTTCTGTGCCCGTGCGAGGTACCAGTGACGGCTAGTCGCTCCACTATTTGAATACACTAAAACAAAAGTTGGCTATTCTACATGTACTATAAGTTTTGTGGCTTCATTTACAAATATCTTCTCATATTAGCTTTTTCAAGTTAAACTGACTATATAGAAAATACATGAGTGAAAAGTCCTGAAGAAATATGCGAATAATTGTTCAATACTTAGCTAGGATCAAAATATAATGAGCATGGACGTAAATATCAATGATGCCGGATCGACTAACAGTAGATATTGACTTCCAAAAGTACTTATGGCGTGGATTCGAGTTTTGTTGAGATGCTGAGTACGTTTTTTGCGAGAATGCAATTTTACGTATGATATTTTTCTGGCACAAATCAAATTGGAGAACCACACTTAGATAGGGCAATTTACAATGAAGCTAAAGTGATGAAACTTATCAGCTAAAGTTGAACGCACATCATCTAAAAAATATTACTGACTGAGCACTGTTTTTACAGAAAATGTCCTAATTCCACATCAATCTTCCATGAACACAACAGCTAGTAAGGAAAAAAACAGGAACTCATTAAATTATTACTAATCAAATGAAGCTTCGCTCAGTCACAGCCGAACACTACCAATAAATTATTCAGTGAACTGGCCAGAAGAAGTCTCATATAAATTTGATGTTACTTAGGTTATTTAACTCCTAATCACACTGACAAACTGTAGTGCGTACCCGTCCGGATGAGCACCAGATCGCACATTCATTTTATTTCATCTGACCCTTCCTTGACTTGGAGGGGGAAAAAAGCTCGTTTCTGATTGGTCCACTTTCTGACCAATGAAGGTTTCAAAAGAAACACTGTCATCACATTACAATCTCTCGATGTTGATAACTTATTACAAAGTTTTATAAAAACATGAAAACACATTAAAACAAGATATTCTAGTCAATGTTTCAGAGGCCACACAGCAAAAGAAGTTCGCAACAGTTATGAGAAAACGCAGAATATTCTTTTAAAATGTTGCTATAAATTCGTATGCATTCTAGAACATTCGTTGATTATGATGTTTAGTACAGAGTTCGCTAGGAAAATATGACTTTACTTGAACCCTTAACTTAAAATCAATCATATAATATCTGTTCAGTAATCTGAATATCATACTCAAAAGAAGTTTCTATTCAAAACAGCAATCAGACTAGACAGGTAATTTGAATATATTAGTACACATTGAGATACTTGAATGGATACGGACAAGAACATATGCCAACAGAACAATTCTCTATTTCATTCATATTCGCTTCCGATACAGCAAATATGAATTCTTTGAGTAATGTCTTCCGTCGAATGACTTATTCAAATATTGTGTCCAAACACCAAAACGTTGTCTCATATTTCACTTGATAATGTTTTTTAGCTTTTTCTCTCTGCTATTCCTTATTCAAACCCATTAGATGTCGACAGTTGACGTTTATTCAATGAATCCCAACAATTTGAAGCAGCTCTTCACGAAATCACCCAGTGCAGCAGCTAGTCGCTCGTCGGCGTCCCTCTGGGACGCCACTCACGACTAGCTGCTGCCACGCATAATTTCACTCCTCCGTAACACCATCCTTTTCTATTTAAATTCCACATGATCCCAGGGTTAGCTTACTTCGAAAATTCGTTTAATCTGTTGTACGAGAATTCTCGACGGAAATTTATAAATAGAAGCTTTCTCGTATAATATTTTTGATTTT